GAGGTTGCAGTAAGCCAAGATTGCACCACTGCACTACTCCAGCCTGGGTGACAGAGTGAGACTCCATCTCAAACAAAAAAAATACATTGAAAGAATTCCCAATCCAGTTACCTAACATTTGAAATATATCATCTAATGAAATCCATACACAACAGTTAAGATGCTGTTCTTACCACACTCCCCAAATCAGCAAATAAAGGCAAGAAGAGACTAAATAACTACTGAAAGACGAAATCAGAATTTGAGTCATGTCTGACTCCAACCCATATGTCCCTGTGTTTTAAATCTCTTTAGGTATGAAAGCTGGTTTCAGAATTATTTTCCCTAACTTTAAAAATATCCTATTCAATATAGTATTGGAAGTTCTAGCAGAGCAATCAGGCAAGAAAAAGAAATAAAGCATATCCAATTAGGAAAGGAGGAACTCAAATTTGTCTCTATTTGCAGAAGACATTATTGTATATCTGGAAGACCCCATCATCTCAGCCCAAAATCTCCTGAAACTGATAAGCAACTTCAGCAAAGTCTCAGGATACAAAATCAATGTGCAAAAATCACAAGCATTCCTAAACACCAACAACAGACTTAAAAAGAGCCAAATCAAGAATGAACTGCCATTCACAATTGCTACAAAAAGAATAAAATACCTAGGAATACAACCAACAAAGAATGTAAAGGACCTCTTCAAGGAGCACTACAAACCACTGCTCAAGGAAGTAAGAGAGGACACAAACAGATGGAGAAACATTCCATGCTCATGGTTAGGAAGAATCAGTATCATTAAAATGGCCATACTGCCCACAGTAACTTATAGATTCAATGCTATCCCCATCAAGCTACCAATGACCTTCTTCACAGAACTGGAAAAAAATCACCTTAAACTTCATATGGAACCAAAAGAGAGCCCGCATAGCTAAGTCAATTATAAGCCAAAAAAACAAAGCTGGAGGCATCACACTATCTGACTTCGAACTATACTACAAGGCTACAGTAATCAAAACAGCATGGTACTGGTACCAAAACAGACATATAGACCAATGGAACTGAACAGAGGCCTCGAAGGCAACACCACACACCTACAACCATCTGATCTTTGACAAACCTGACAAAAACAAGCAATGGGGAAAGGATTCCCTGTTTAATAAATGGTGTTAGGATAACTGGCTAGCAATGTGCACAAAGCAGAAACTGGACCCCTTCCTGACACCTTACACTAAAATTAACTCCAGATGGATTAAAGACGTAAACATAAGATATAACACCATAAAAACCCTAGAAGAAAATCTAGGCAAAACCATTCAGGACATAGGCACAGGCAAGGACTTCATAATTAAAACACCAAAAGCATTGGCAACAAAAGCCAAAATAGACAAATGGGATCTAATTAAACTCCAGAGTTTCTGCATAGCAAAAGAAACAATCGTTAGAGTGAGCCGGCAACCAACAGAATGGGAAAAAATTTTGCAGTTTACCCATCTGACAAAGTGCTAATATCCAGAATCTAGAAAGAACTAAAACAGATTTACAAGAAGAAAACAAGCCCATTCAAAATTGGGCAAAGGATATAAACAGACACTTTTCAAAAGAAGACATATATGAGGCCAATAAACATAAAAAATGCTCATCATCACTGGTCATTAGAGAAATGCAAATCAAAACTACATTGAGATACCATCTCACACCAGTTAGAACGGTGATCATTAAAAAATCTGGAGACAACAGATGCTGGAGAGGATGTGGAGAAACAGGAACACTTTTACACTGTTGGTGGGAGTGTCAATTAGTTTAACCATTGTGGAAGACAGTGTGGCAATTCCTCAAGGAACTAGAAATAGAAATTCCATTTGACCCAGCAATCCCATTACTGGGTATATATCCAAATGATTATAAATCATTCTATTATAAGGACACATGCACACAAATGTTCATTACAGCACTGTTTACAATAGCAAAGACTTGGAACCAACCCAAATGCCCATCGATGATAGACTGCACAGGGAAAATGTCGCACATATACACCATGGAATACTATGCAGCCATAAAAAACAACGAGTTTGTGTCCTTTGCAGAGACATGGATGAACCTGGAAACCATCATTCTCAGCAAACTGACACAAGAACAGAAAATCAAGCACTGCATGTTCTCACTCATAGGCAAGTGTTGAACAATGAGAACACATGGACACAGGGAAGGAAGCATCACTCACTGAGGTCTGTGGAGGGGAACTAGGGTAGGGACAGCGGCGGGTGGGGAGTTGGGGAGGGATAATATGGGAAGAAATACTAGATATAGGTGATAGGGAGGAAGACAGCAAACCATATTGCCATGTAATGTACCTATGCAACAATCCTGCATGTTCTTCACATGTACCCCCAAACCTAAAATGCAATAATATACACACATATATATATATATTTCCAATGTTTAAATAATATAATTGCCAATAAAAATCCCCCTGAGTCTCTGTTGTTCTTTGTTGGTAATTTGATTTTTCTCTCTGGTGACTTTCAGGATTTTCTCTTCATCCTTAATTCTCTGCCATCTCACCCCCATTGTGATATGCCGCATGGATTTTCAAATCCTATTCCGCACCCACAGGCCTTTTAAATACCTCGGTTTTTTTCCTTTCTTGAAAATTCTCAGTTATTTCACCTTTGAACAGTTCTTCTGCCATTCTCTTGATAATCTCACTCTTGAGACTCCTACTAGACATATGGTGGAGCTTCTTACTCTGTATGTTTTGCCTGTGAATTCATCTTCCATGGAAATGTTGATCTGCAAAAGCTTTTTACTTGAGTGATTTAGACTGTAGAAGCCATGAGAGAGGCAGAAAGTATCTGAGATGCCTCTATATGGGTTCTAGAGAATTTTTGAGATAAGATCTTGCCTTGTTACCCAGAATGGAGTACATTGGCATGATCATGGCTGGAGTCCACTGACATGACCATTTTCAGCCTTGACCTTCTAGACTCAATCAATCCTCTCATCTCAGCCTCCCATGTAGCTGGGACTACAAACACATACTACCATACCTGGCTAATTTTTGTATTTTTAGTAGAGACAATATTTTGCCATGTTGCCCAGGCTGGTCTCAAACTCCTGGGCTCAAGCTATCCACTTGCCTTGACCTCCCAATATGCTGGGATTACAGGCATGAACCACTGTGCCTGACCAGATTTGGTTTTTAATCTATCCTTCAACTTGGGATTTCCACACTGCACCAGTGAGGACTCAGGGTTCCAATTTCCAAATGATTTTTTCTATCCATGTCTCAAGACAGACAGCAATATTCTGGTCATAACTCAGTGCTGGTGGGCAGGATGTTCAGATGCCTTTTCACAAAAGATAATACATTCCTGCCTCCTGGTTCCTTTAGGGAAATCCACTTCTGCTCATTCTGTGCAAGCCCTATGTTCTCTTTTGACCCTTGCCTTTGTGTTGAAACTCCAGCCCCTGGGGGCTACATTCAGTCCAGCTCCCTGTGCACCTCACAGTTTCTTCTGCCATTTATTACCGTGGGCTCCTTACCTGTCTCTGAAACCTAAAGACTTTTCGTATTGCTTTTGCACTTAGTATTTAAAATAATGTGTCTATTATTTCTACATATTCAAACAGAAAGAGAGTTAAGCTGGTAGCCAGATGTCTTCTTTAAGAAACAAAAATGTATAGATTTTTAAAGAAACTTCACACATAGTACATATTGCACTGAAACAAATCTTTCACAGAATCTCCAGAAAACAGCCTAGTAAAAACAACTATGCAAGCAACATACCCTAATTAAAACCAATGCTTTACAAGAATGTGGCAAATTATTCAATACTAGAGAGAAATAAGAAAGCTTTATAATAATCTCAAATGCTCCTCTAGCTATAACAAAAATTCTAGCCTTCACCTTTTACCATTAATTAGGTATTACTTCCAGGGCTCCCATTCCATACTTGTGAAGGCAATATGTCAACATTAAAGCTGTTGCTTTGAGCTGGGCACAGTGGCTCTCACCTATGATCCCAGAACTTCAGGAGGCTGAAGCAGGAGGATCATTTGAAGCCAGGAGTTCAAGATCAGTCTTGGCAACAGAGCAAGACCTGGTCTTTACAATAATAATAATAATAAAGTTCTCTTTTTCAAAGTTTTTTTCTCTTTCATTATAAAAGTAATGTGCTCATAATAGTAACCTAGGAAAATCATTATAAATATAAGAAAAGAGAAGATAACCATAAATTAACTGTAGTCCTCCAACTCAGAGACAACCACTATTTGAATATCAATGTTTTTCCTTTTTGTTTCTATGCATACAGTTTTCTTAACTGGAATCATACTTTATATAATGTAGTTTAGTATACCATTTTTCTCATTTAACACTAATAATTAATATTTCCCATGTGCTGAAAAGTCCTCAGAAATATTTAATGCTGGTATTGTGTTGTAATTAAATATTTCTGTGTCTAACCATTGTCTAGACAATATAATGTGTCTAGCCATTGCCCTCTTCTTCAGCATTTAAAATAGTGTTGTAATAGTCACGATTGTATATAAATCTTTGTTCATGTTTTCTAGTATTCACTTATTATTTACTCAGAGTAGACTTTTTAAAATGGAATCATTGAGTCAAAGGAATATTTTAAGGCTTCTGATGTATATTTTAAGGCTTCTGATGATACTGCATTCTGAATCCACATAACAGACAATTCTGCCCTATGCCCCACACATGAGAGATCTGCCTGTTTCTCTCTCTCTCTCTCTCTCTCTCTCTCTCTCACACACACACACACACATGCACGCATGCACACACACGTGTGCATGTACATACAAATTCATTTATTAAAGAACACATGCATGCCTGATCAATCAGGATCCAGACACAGCATCATTTGTCATTCTAAACATCCACTTTCATAAGACCACTCAGGCATAGGGACACACAGCTTCACGTCTCTTATCCAATGTCCTCAAAACACAAAGAAACTGCATCTGAGTTAACTCTCAGATTTATGACTTACGCCGCTGCCACATCAAAGACGGACACTTCTCTAGAGAACTAGGAAGAACCTGGGTAAGAGAAGGACAAATTAACCTGACAAGCCCTTCCTCTTAACATATATGCAATAGATTCTTAGAAAATAAAGTATAAAGTATAATTTGTTAGTAGTGCTGAGAATCTATTTTCCAACTTCTCTTCATGATTCGATTCATGGCTCCTAAATTACTCATGAATTGGTGCTGTATTTGCAACAGTTGAGGAGCACTTTGCAATATAAACCAATTTCTATTACTCTTAAATTTGTCTCTCTGTAGGTATAGATATAACATGCACAAAACATGATAAAAATTCTTTACATTAGCTACTAAATGAACATTTACATTAAACAATTTTGATTCGTTTTATTTTCATAAAAACTTCAATTATATAAATTTTAATTAAATTAAAATTTAAGTAATTTTTAAATTCTGAAACTTAGTAATTATAATTTTATTTCCTTTTTTTTTTTTTTCTTTGGGTAGAGATAGGGCCTCACCATGTTGCCCAGACTGGTCTTGAATTTCTGGGCTCAAGCAATCCTTCCACCTTGGCCTCGCAAAATGCTGGGATTACAGGCATGAACCGCCCTGACTGGCTCATTTTACCTTTTAATTTTAATAGATAATTCTGAATATTTTAGAAGAAAAACAACTTTTTAAATAGATATAAAAGATAATTTTAATTTCTCATTTCTTACAACTAAATTAATTTACATGTTTAATAGAGATATATTCAAATGTATATTCTCTGACTACAATTGCCTATTTTAAATATTTAAACAAATGGTATATGAACCTCCATTAATGCTTATGTCCTGGGCCCCCAAATGTCAGAAGAGGGCCTAAATGACAAAGGTTAATTGCTCTCCACCAGTAATGTATGAATGCACATTTTCCCACACCAAGATGAAACATTACTTATAGTTATTCTCAATTCTTAAGTGAAATTTTTCATTTGCATTGCTTTGATTACTAGTGAAGTGAACATTTTTAAATATATGCTTACTAGTCATTTGTAATTTCTCATCTGTAATTTGTCTCTTCATACACCTGGCCCATTTTTAACATAGAGCCTTAACATTTCTTCTTATTGATTTGTTGTGAGTGCATCATATATTAAAGACATGAACTTTTAGTCATATTTCTTACAAACATTTCCTTAAGTTATCAGTTATTTCAAAATTCTGTTTATATTTTTGACATAAATGCATTTTTAACTTGTGTATAGTCAAATCTGTCCATCTTCTGTGTTGTGACTTCTCCTACTGATTTCATGCTTAGAATATCCTCTCCCACTCACAAACAGATAAATATTCATCTTAATTTTTTCTAGTATTTTCATTTTTTAAACAGAACTCACTAATGTACCTGGAATTTATTTTAGCATATAATATAAACCCATGATTGGCTTTGATTGTTTTTCCCACATAGCTAGGTAAATTTCCCAAAACCACTAATTAATCTTTCTCAATGATATGTGTTATTTCCTTTATCATTTGTTAAGTTTTAAAGTTTATTTTTAGGAAATATATTCCTTTCCATTGATCTGTGGATCTATTCTTGAGCCACATTAACTAATTAATGTATTCTAAAGATCCCATAGAATTGGCCTCTATCCTTCCATTAATCTTCTTTTCATACTCTGCCCATCCTCTTTCCCATCTTTCCATTTTTTGCAGTCAATCTTTAGAATCAAAGAAGCAGTTTTCGATTTACTGACCCTTTAGGCTCTGTCTTGGTGGTAGTAGTAGTAGCAGTAGTAGTAGTAATAGTACTTATTTCCCCTTGACTGGAAATAAAGCCTAAACCAGGTGACTACTTGGTAGGAAGGTGGGAGTGGAGAACCACTAAAAATAATTCTTAAGTTACCTTCAATACTAGTTGTCTATTGACTCCAAGGTTCCTTCTAACTCTACAATTAGAGTCTTGGCTGGGCAAAGTGGCTCACCCCTGTAATCTCAACACTTTGGGAGGCCAAGGCAGGAGGATCACTTGAGCTCAGGCATTCAAGACCAACCTACCCAACATGGCAAAACCCTGTCTCTACTAAAAATACAAATTAGCCAGGTATGGTGGCTTATGCCTGTAATCCCAACACTTTGGGAGGCTGAGGCTCCAAAACACCTGAGGTTAGGAGTTCAAGACCAGCCTGGTCAACACGGTGAAACCTTGTCTCTATTAAAGATACAAAAATTAGCCAAGTGTTGTGGCACATGCCTGTAGTCCCAGCTACTCAGGAGGCTGAGGCAGGAGAATCACTTGAACTCGGGAGGTGGAGGCTGCAGTGAACAAAGATCATGCCACTGCACTCCAGCCTAGGCAACAGAGTGAGACTCCATCTCAAAAAAAGCAAACAAAAAAACAAAAACAAAAATTAGCCGAGTATGGTGGCTCATGCCTGTAATCCCAGCTACTCAGATGGCTGAGGCACCTGGAAAATTGCTTGGACCAGGGAGGCAGATGTTTCAATGAGCTAAGATCATACCACTTCACCTCAGCCTGGGAGACAGAGTGAGTCAGACTATCTCAAAAAAAAAAAAAAAAAAAAAGTGGCTAAGAAGAACAATCTCTTGAACCCAGCAGTTTGAGGCTACAGTTAGTTATGATCATGCCATTGCATTCTATTCCAGTCTGGGAAACAGAGTGAGACTGTCTCAAAATAAAATTAATAAAATCAGAGTTTCTTGAAACATTATCACCAACAACTATTTTGTTCTGTACTAGAGAGAGCAGAGGCTCATGGTCAGAAAGACTAGTACATTGACCAATTAGTCAAATGACGTTAAGGAAGTAATTTTACTTTTACAAACCTTACCTTCCTTATCTGTAAAATGGAGAGGATAAATCCAACCTCACAGAGCTGTTGGGAAAATTCAAAGAGATAATGGAGGTATCTGCATGTAGGCAAGCATAAAAAAAAAGAGAGAGAGAGACAATGGAGGTAAAGCACCCATGATGGGGCTTTACCCTAATGCCCCATTAGGGTGTTCTTATTTTTCGTTTGTTTGTTTCTGAGACAAAGTCTTACTCTGTCAACCAGGCTGGAGTGCAGGGGCTCAATATCCACTCACTGCAACCTCTACCTCTCAGGTTCAAGTGATTCTCCTGCCTCAGCCTCCCAAGTAGCTGGATTACAGGCGCCCACCACCACACCCAACTAATTTTTGTATTTTCAGTAGAGATGGGATTTTACCATGTTTCCCAGGCTTGTCTCAAACTCCTGACCTCAGGTGATCTGTCTACCTCAGCCTCCCAAAGTGCTGGGATTACAGGCGTGAGCCACCATGCCTGGCCTGGTTCTTTAAATGTTATTGCTCAGGCATTTCCCCGCTTCAGGCAGCTTTTAGTCCTGAACTGTATTTTTGAAGGCATTAGGGTGTCTTTGCAAAATAGATTCTAAGGTTAATTCCTCAGGGCTTCAAGGGATGCCTCGCTGACATCCCTCTTAGCTCTCTGTGAGAGGAAAGGAAGACGTTAACCTTTAGTTTTATGGAGTCCTGAGTTAGCTTCTTTATTTGACTGTTGGGAACATTCAGCTAAGTTTTTGCCTTCAAAGTTTCCTCTGCCAGCAGCAATGAGAAAAGTGTGAACATTTTAAATGATTCAAGCCAGCTTGTCAGCATATTCTTCAAATCTTCCTACACATATATTTACACTTTGACTGTTAACAAGATGTATCATCCTTGTCCAGGCAGAGAAAGCAATTACTCTAGATGATTATCCCAGAATTGACACTAGCCTGGGCTTAGCATCACTCCAATTATAGAAATTATCTGTTAAAAAGAACAAGATAGATATGTAAGCTAAAGTCGTTTTCTCTCCTAACTTGTCCTCAGTTAAAGCCTGGAAGCCTCTAAGCAGGGCCAACATCATGAAGCAGTCTTCAACAAAGTCACATCAACCCTGCCCCACCTCACCCTGTTCCAGAACAGCCACCAGCCCACTCAACATTGACCCAGTGTGTGATTTGCGGCTACCTCAGAGCTCCATGCCGCTGCCACCACCATCGCCCGTGCCTGTGCTCGCTGCTGTCCTCCGCCTTGGCAAAATTGTGAAGTAAATGGTTTCTGCCTCTGTGGTATAACAAAACATAAATACAATTGACCTTCAAACAATATGGGTCTGACCTGCTCAGGTCCACTGATACACAGATTTTCTTCCACCTCTGCCACCCCTCAGATGCAAGACCAACAACCCCCAAACCCTGCTTCCTCCTCTTCAGCCTACTCAATGTGAAGAGGATGATAATGAAGACCTTTTTGATGATCCCCTTCCACTTAATGAAGAGTAAATTCATTTCCTCTTCCTTATGATTTTCTTAGTCACATTTTCTTTCTCTAGCTGACTTTATTATAAGAATAAAAAGCATAATACATATAAGATACCAAATATTGACAAGGCAAAGTGGCTCACACCCATAATCCCAGCACTTTGGGAGGCCCAGGTGGGTGGATCTCCTGAGGTCAGGAGTCCAAGACCAGCCTGGCCATCATGGGAAAACCCCATCTCTACTAAAAATACAAAAATTATCCGGGCGTGGGGGTGCATGCCTGTAATCTCAGCTGCTCGAGAGGTTGAGGCAAGGAAATCGTTTGAACCCGGGAGGCAGAGGTTGCAGTAAGCCAAGATCTCACCACTGCACTCCATCCTGAGTGACAGAGAGAGACTCCATCTCAAAAAAAAGGAAGAAAAAGATAAAAGAAAACACACACACACACAAAATGTATATGTTAATCAACTATCATGTTATCAATAAGGCTTCAGGTCAATAGTCATCTATTTGTAGTTAAGTTTTGGGGGAGTTAAATGTTACACTCAGATTTTTGACTGCACAAGAGGTTGGTGCCCCTAACCCCTGCATTGCTCAAGGTTCAACTGTATTTGATCTTTATATCCTGTTCCTGGCATAGAGCTCCTAAAATCCCCCAAATTTATTGTCTTTCATATGCTTATGAGCTGACTCATGGTGAAAGCTGGTCACCAGAAAAACTAGCCATGTGATTGGAGGGTTAGAAATTTTAGCCTCCCTCCCCACCTCATCCTGGGGAGTAGAGGGGGGCTGGAGACTAAGTTCGATCACCCATAGCAAATGATTTAATCAATCATGCCTATGCGCTGACAATGAAACTTTCACAAAAACCACTAAATGACAGGATATACATAAAGGATATAACCCTAAGTTATATCCTTTATAATAAACTGTAATAGTAAGCAGAGCATTTTCCTGAGTTTTCTGAGTCATTCTAACAAATTTTCTAGTTACTTGGGCCATGCCAAGGCAAGGGTGGGGGGGTCATAGGAACCCCCAACTTTGTTGTAAGCTAGACAGAAGTGTGGGTCACTAGGGACCTCACTGGTGGCTGGCAGCTGAAGTAAGGGCTGTCTTTTGGGACTGAGCCCTTTAATTTGTAGGATCGGACACTCCAGGTACATAGTGTCAGAATTGAACTGAACTACTGGACACCCAGTTGGTGTCAGAGAATTGGTGTGAGAAAATATTTGACACAAAACACACATTTGGTGTCAGAAGCGGTATCAGAAAACACTACACAGCCCCAGACTCCCTTCCCCTCCCTCTTCCCCTTCCCCACTTCCCACTAAGTGCCTCCACCCTAATTGTGCTCCTTGGAGCCCTAAAGGTAGTCCATAAATTCTGTAAGTGCTGGTTTCAAAATGGGCCTTAAACTACAGAATTATCCCTTGCTCCTTCTCCCACCTCCTTCACCCACCACCACAAGAAATATAAACAATCTTTGCCCAGTGCTTTTTCATGTCTATGTCTTTGTCCACCTGGAATGTGTTTGCCTTCTGTTCCCATAAAGCTAAAGTTAAGCTCAAATGCCCTCTCAAAGTCTTCTCTAATCTCTCCACCAAACCTCATTTATCCCCGTTCATTACAGTTCATCTCTACTTATCTTTATCTGTATGCTTTAATGGCATTTCAGTTTCTATCTATATTTTGCTCTCATGTTCACAATGTATTTTCCCTCCTAGACTATAAACTCTTTGCTGGCAAGTAGGCCACAGTCAAGTTAGAGAAATATGTTGTGATCCATGTTTGAATTATCTTTGTATTCACAACCTGACATGGTATTTACGGAACAAATACATGAATGAATCAATCAGTCCTGCTACAGTGCTACGTGAAACGTACTAGCCTCAAAAGCAAAATTAATCCCTTAAGTGAATATGTGCAGAATCTGCTTAGTGAAGTAGAGCAGCTCCATTCTTTTCTACACAAGAGGCCACGGGGAAAATCGAACATATTTGATGGTGCTTACCACCCAATTTCTTGTTTTGCCCAGAATCCTTGTTTACAGAACCACAGCAACTTTTGAATCAGAATCAACTCACAAAGAGTAAAAGAAATAGCTGGGGTCTTTCCTACTAATAAGATGAATATTGTTTAATATTGCTTTCCTGCCGTTTGCTCGCAAACCTCAAAAGCTTCAGGCTGCCAGGTACAGTGGTTCATGCCCGTAATCCCAGCACTTTGGGAGGCAGGCAGATGTAGGAGGATTGCTTGAGCCCAGGAGTTCAAGACCAGCCTGGGCAAAAAAGTGAGACCCTATGTCTACAAAAAAAAAAAAAAATCAAAACAATTAGCCAGGCATGGTGGCATATGCCTGTCATTCCAGCTACATGGGAGGCTGAGCTGGGAGGATCTCTTGGTCCTGGGAGGTCAAGGCTACAGTGAACCGTGTTTACGCCACTGCACTTCAGCCTGGGTGATAGAGCTAGACCCTGTGTCAAATAAATAAATAGCTCAGGCCATGCAGAATTCTGAGAGTAATCATGAGTGTTTTCTTGTACCTGCAAACCACAAACTGACTTGTGTGATTTAACAAATTTCATTACCCAATATCTAATGATTTGGTAAGAAATAAAAACTGCCAGGCGCAGTGGCTCACGCCTGTAATCCCAGCACTTTGGGAGGTCGAGGTGGGTAGATCACGAGGTCAAGAGATCAAGACCATCCTGGTCAACATGATGAAACCCTGTCTCTACTAAAAGTACAAAAAATTAGCTGGACATGGTGGCACATGCCTGTAATCCCAGCTACTCAGGAGGCTGAGGCAGGAGAATTGCATGAACCCAGGAGAGGGAGGTTGCAGTGAGCCAAGATCGTGCCATTGCACTCCAGCCTGGGTAACAAGAGCGAAACTCCATCTCAAAAAAAAAAAAAAAGAAAAAAAAAAAGAAAGAAAGAAAGAAAGAAGAAAGAAAGAAAGAAAAACTTTGCCTTGCCAATATTTTGTGATTTATTCTCTCTGAAATTAGTTGAAAACAGAAAAATGTAGGTGCTTTCAAACAATAAAACTCTTGACAAGTTCTGCTCACATCTATCATCCCTGGAGATTGATCCCTCCCTTTCCTCACATGGAGAGCTTGTCACAGCTCCAGAAAAAATACCTTCCCCTAAACTCAACAGCTGATGACAAACTAGAGATGAGAAACAAGAAAGGAACCGAAAGGAAGAACTGAGCACTGATCTCCATTAAGCTGACTCAACTAAATAAATGGTGAGGCTCAACTGTTACACTTCGCTTCGCTGTGCAGGGGGACGCTTCCATTTTATTGCCATAGTAAATTCAGACTAGAAAGTGGTAGAACATTGGCATTTCAATCAAGGCAGCTCCAGATAGGCACAAAGCACAGAGCAGCAGGCAATCACACACTCACATACACTTTCCCTACCCGGCCCACTCAACTCTGTGTTGAAAGCTTTATGAAAGAAAGGCTAGAGGATATCCAGAGATCGCTGACAAGATTCAAAGGGACAGAATTTTACAAATCCCTATAAAACAGCCAGGAGCCCTTCCTTGCCAATGGGAATTTGAAATATGTCCCTCCACTCTTCTGGCTGTACAAAAGTAAAAAAATCACAAACAACTTGCTGAGAATATACATTCCCACAGAATACATCACCCTCAAGCTAAATGCTCACTGTCCTCTCTTCTTTAAGAACTAAGAATCAGTGATGTTACTGAGGTAATAGCAAGCCGTCTGACACCTTCAATCACTTGGCAAATTATAAAACAGGGCTATGTCACTTCAGCAACTGAAATAAGGAGGCAGACCGACATTAACAAATAAGCACATGCAATACAGGGTATAAGAAACGGAGCAATATTTTAAGCGCTCAGGAAGTGACAAATTTTATGTTGAGCCACATCTACTGCAGGGCATCATATGATATTTCTTCAGGTACAGACATTACACGAGGGTAACCTGTTCTGTGCACATTTGTAAAGTATTTATATTCCATCAGCTTTCTTGTCAGTAGAAAAATATTTCTTTGCACATATGCCAGATGAGTTTCATAATGGAAGCCACAGCTTGCTTCTAAGTAAATTATTAAGTCATCTGCTCTTTAATGAAATGGAATTTTCTGCACTGATCTTTCAGATAAAAGGTGCTCTTTTGTAGAAAATGACTGTACCTAGAATAGAAAAAATAATTTAACCACAGGCTTCAGAAGATAATGGAAAGGGAATGAAAGCAGCATTTATTGAGAAAAGCCCCAGAAACTGAGTAGGCACTTGCTATGTGATTTCACTAAATGCTAGTATTAACTCTACAAGAAAAGAACAATTACTCCCACATTAGAGATTAACATATTCAAAGAGACTGGATCACTTGCCCAGCCACACAATGCTAAGAAATGGTAAAAATAAGATTTGAAAATGTAGGGCTTACTAAAACCTAAACTTACTCAAATACTGTATGCTAACTCTCAGTCTGGATAAAGTTGGCCTAGATAATCAACCTGGCTTTTCAACCCAGAATTAAAAATTCTCTTAATAAGTAAGCCAACTGGTCAACTAATACGTATTAAGATCCATACATGTTGAGTAATTGTATGTCATATATATATTTAATATATGTAGGCTATGTGTCTTAATATAATTGCTGTTAGCAAAAAGGATTCACTAATCACAAGCATAGTCAGAACAACTTTTTTTTATTATACTTTAAGTTCTGGGATACATGTGCAGAACGTGCGGGTTTGTTACATAGGTATACACGTGCCACGGTGGTTTCCTGCACCCATCAACCTGTCATCTACATT